CATTGTTATTATTTGAGATGTATTTTGGAAGAAATAATGGGATGTACATCATCACCTAGTTGTGAGTATTGTGCTTTGGGATAGTTTGTTGTTGTGAAACCTTGCCTAGTCATTAAGAATGAGTACTTGAGTTTTGTGCACTTGTCTATTGAGACACCAAGGTATAAGAATAAGGAGATTGATGTTAATGATTAAAGAACTTGTAATTGGGAGCATTTAAGATTTTGTATCCATTTTGAGGGATATGTTTTGTCTTTGAGCATGAGTTTGAGTTGAGATCGAGGTTGAGCAAGAGCCCATAGGAGATGATGACAGGAATTGTATAGAGATGAGTATTATATGAACTAAAGGATACCTAATTCGAATCAATTGGAGTTTGAAATTGTGGACTTAATGATTTATAATTTCTGATGACCATGAGTACTTATTTTGAGATAAAGAATTGAGCATATTTTTTTTAATATATTATTAGAGTCTTGAGAATTTACGATTCTATTGAAATATTGAGGACTTTCGACTTGTTGAACCTTGAAGATATCTTCAAATGTTATGTTGGAGTTATGAATGTTGATTAATTTAACCTCGAGCTATGAGAATTATTATATTCTATAAAAGTCATTTAATGCTATGATGTTGGAGAGCTCTTGTATTTATTTACCTACTCTTATAGAGTTGTTCAACAACCTTATATATTTTTATTGTTTTTCCAAGTGCTACTCATTTCTTCCTTCCTTTCGAGTAGCAATCCATGGGAATATTTTTATTTTATTTGTTAGATTAATTATATGAATTATGGTTGTTTATCAATCAAGACTTCATGCATTCGAATTATTGAGAATGAGGACATAAATATTTTTACCTCAAACTTTAATTCGAATTAATTGTTGATTATTTATTGGTTGGTGTTAGTTGAGTAGAATAAGAGGAAGCTAAGTGTTTTGACCCAACCTAAATGTATAGCAACCAGTTTTATCATCAAGGAAGGTATGATGACAAGTAATAATTCCAGTAATGGAAATGATTTAAGCAAGGTAATAAGGCAGGCTTGATAGTTTGTCAGGATATAATCACTAATAATCCCGTGGTGGAAAAGTGTAATAAGATAGTGTAGAAAAGTGAAAACCACCTATATACCAAAGGAAATCAATTCCTAATGTTTTCGAGAATTGAATTAAAGAGTTATGCAAGTTGTTTAAAGGTAATTTGTGTCTTGAGAAATTGAGAGTGAATAAAAGTTTGTATGGTAAGTAAATTAGAAATTAATTTTTTCATGTTAATAGGAACGAATAAGTTGTGAATACACCCAAACTTATTTGAGAGACGTTAGTTTGAGATAACAAACCCGAAATAAGTTTTACCAGTCTTTCATGCAGATAGAAGGAAAAGGTAGCGAAGTTTATAGTGAAAATGAAAAGATTGCTTGCTTTGGAGTAGTATTCCAAGTTGTTAAGATCTCTAGGTTATCAAGGAAATGATTTGTTGCTGAAAGCTCAAGGCAATAAGTTGAAGTGTGGTGAACTATGAGTTTTAACGACAGTTGTCAAGACATAAAATCGTTAGGATTTTCATAAATTTGCATGAAAGAGTGATAAATTCCTGTATTCTTTGAAATAAAAGTGTGAAAAAGATTAAAGATAAGGAATCAAAACAAGAAAGAAGGTTGGTGAAAGGCTAACAGGAAACTTCTAGGGTATTACAGGTGATGCTGATATTGAATTATTAATGAAGTGCTCGAAATTATTGACTGATGTTGCTCTGCTGCTACTGTTTGCTAACTACTGCTGCTACTATTTTGCTCTATGCTACTGCTATGTTCTGCTAACTACTGCTGCTATGTTTTGTATTTGATGTTGTTGTGTTCTGCTGGTGTTCTACTGCTGCTACTAACTGCCTGCTATGCCCTATACTACTGTTGTGTTGTTTTCAAATTGTTGCTAAACATTTTATTTTTTTTTGCTGAAGTGTTGAATTTTATGGCCAATTTATAGGCCTTGTACGACAGTCATTACTTCATTTGAAGTTAGAACTTGTTGTTTTATTATGTTTAATATTTTGCTTATTATATGGTGCAATATTTTATGTTGATGATGCCTTGATGGGAAGAATAGCCTATTTTAGATTTGTTTGATTTATTTTTGAAAGCCCACAAAGAGTTGCAGATTAAGACCCAAATAACAAGGCCCTAAAAAATCGGTGTGGTTCGGTTATATGGTTTGGTTTGGTTTTGTTTCAAGAGTAATTTGGTGCGGTGTGGTTTGCAAAATCCCAAAACCAAATTAATGTGGTTCGGTTTCGATTTGGGCTATAAACCAAATCGAAAACCGAACTTTCACCCCTAATTGTAGCCCACAAACCCACTTTAGTTCATTTTGTAGTAGAAGTAATGTTTCCACCGACATTGATGTAGCCTAAAACAAGTGTCTTGTCTTCAACTATACTACATGCACTAACTCTTTCATTATTAGGGTCTTCTCCAGAAATGTCGACAACATCATTATCGAGATTTTCTAAATGTTGAGTTTCTCGTACGTCTTCTATTGGAGACGCAGTGTTGCTAAAATTACTTCAGGATATTGATCCATGCATGGTTTGGGTAAAATATTGGGACATGCATGGAAAATAATGGAACATCTTGCATGTGAAGATGATATTCTATTTGTTGAGAAACTTAAGATGTGTAATTTGGATTTAAAGGTCTTTGTTAACAGTCATACCATTGCAAAGCAGCTTAAAAATGATGATTATTGAAAATATTTGGATTAGAAGGGAGAACATTTGAATTGCATTGAGAATTCGGATTACTTTGGATATTTACATTCCTTCCATATTTAGGATTATTAGGATCCATTATAGAAAAAAAAAATTTAAAAGAGAGGAAAGAGAGAAATTTTTTGAAAGTTGATGTGAAAAAAAGGCCAAAATTATGTTCATTTTACAGGATAATAAAATAAAGTCGTTGGTGGAATTCGTTTTAAAAAATATGTTACCGTTTTTTTATGACCATTATAAGATTGTTGCGCAAGAAAAATATAATGAAATAGCTAACTAGGTTGGCCATTTGTCAACCTTTTCACCTTTCATTTTATAATTGGGTTGCTGCTTTATAATCTACAATTCACGCCTATTTCATTAGTTGTCAAGTACTTTTGAGTTTTTTTTTTTCCTAATTGATAAACCACTGTTGTGTGAAGACAAACTCCATGAGAACGTTTTGTTTTTGGACTTCCACTCATCTTCTTCAGCAAAAAGTACGAGGCGTAAAAATTCTTCACCATTTAAAGATTGTAGAGCATCCTCTTCCTTTTTGAGGATCCTCCACACTTCTCAATATCAAAGAGCATTATATATCTTTTTGAGCTGAAAAGTTGACAAAGAGGACACTAATCCTCGCCAATTTTAATGCTCTAAGGATAGAATGAAGTGGGAGAAATTATTATGATGTTATTAAAGAGGTTTGGTTATTAAAAGTAAATAATAATAATAAAAAAAAAGAGTTATCTATACTTAGTCTATTCTTTATTATTAGTTAGTATATAAAAACACAAACCAAAGTTGTCACATGTCTTCCTTTCCTTTCACCTTTCTTTATAATTCTTCTCTTTCCTTAACCTCTTTCCGTATGTTTTGAAAGAAATTCTCTTCATCTCCCCCTTTATTTCTCAATAACTCTTTAAATTTTGTAATCTCTATTTTAATTCAACAAATTTAATTTCTTAAACCTTCCTCTCTTCTCCCTCCATCTTTCAATTCAATTTATTCACATTCATCATTCAATTCATTGACCCCTTATTTTCCCTAACCTATCTCTTAATATAAATACAAATTTTCAATAAAACTTTTTTCACATCACTTAAGCTCCCAAAAAAAAAAAAAAAAAAAAAAAAAAACTCTCAAAATTCTATGTAAAATTTCTACAACAATGAAGGTGATGATTGTAAAGGAAAATATTGAGGCGGCAAAGAAGGAAGACTTGAATTTGATAAGAAAATGAAGAATTTCATGCAAGAATACTATGAAAATTCCATAGGATAACATTGCTTGCATGTCATAGGGCCTTTTTATTCAAGATATTAAGCGCACTATAAGAGAAATATACTGGTAAAGAGGAATTTCATAACTTCATATTTGATGTAAAAATGTAAAATTATAATAAGTGTTTGGTATTTAGTTTTTCTTATACAAATTGTTAACTATCATGCAAATAGAGATTTAATTTGATTTTACAATTTTAAGCCATTTTTTCTACAATTATTACTACTAATTCATAAAATGTTATAACCTGTCAAAAGACGATGAAATGAATTCATTCAAGCAATTTGTAAGTTTTATATAAAACTAATAATTTAAGCACAACCCGTGCATAGAACAGGTCCAAAAGCTAGTTAATAGATGACACACCTAACCAAAATGACATTTAGAGGACTCTGTATTAGACTTTTACAAAGAAGATAAAAATAGGGCTTTATGGTGTATCAAACCTTGTTAATTCCTTCAATATTTTAATTAGTTGGATATGATAACAATTAAAAAAAACTAAAGCACATTTATGTTAAATGATTATTGACTGTTCTCTAGAGTTTAGTGGCTTTTAAAAGCAGCGCACAATGCCGCCATTAACATGAACTCAATACAATCGATGTCTCATTGTCTCTTTCTTTGCATCTTTCTCACTCCATTCCATTCTTCACCAAACCTAAAACAAACAAAGCCAAAGCCAATTAAATTTAGACTATTTTCAGATTCTTCACAAAACAACCATCAAAGCGTTTCTATCCCCACCCCATCTTGCCTAACTCGTCTCTTTGACATGCAATCTCCGGCCTCTTTCTGACCATTGGCACTAGATAAAAACGCTACATTGGAAGTTGCCTTGTATTGATCTTTAGCCGTGTTTGAGAGCAATTTGTCACATCTAAGATCTATCCCAAATTCATTAGAAAATATTTTCTTATCCGCTAAATGGAGCCATCAATTGACTGGCAGTGTTACTAGCCCAATGCTATAAAACTAAACTTTGTTTCCATGCTGACTTGATCAATAATAAATAAAATTCAAACCACCAGAATCATCACAGACAATGTCAAAGCCCACAAAGGTATATATTACATATTTACAGTACAAGATGACAGTATCAGTTCTATTGAAGAATTTACTTGGGAATGAATTAGCATCCCAAACGAACACCTATCCAATTTCCATCAATCTATCAGCATCACAAAAGATTGAAACAACTTTGGGAAGTCTACACTTAACAAGAGATTCTAAGAATCGCACCCTAGCCATAGATCATTCAGAACGCCAGAATTGCTGACCAGTAATCTCTCCCAAAGAATTTATGACTAAGCTGCAGCATACATCTGTCTTTGCTGTGACGAAACATGTAATATCTAATTACAGACTTGCCTATGAAGAAAAGGGAGGACTTGAGCACTCCAAATGACTAAAACATATATCCCAGATGAGTGCCAAGTCAGGCTACTTGAGCTTCACATATTTTCAGATATCACTGCAACACCATCACGAATGAAGTGATTGGCATTAAAATGTGTTATACAAAATATGTATGAAGCACAAATTCTGATCCAACTTGCTATTCAATTTAACAGAGTTGAGTCACTTGACAGATGCACAGATCATTTACCTTAATGTCACAACTTTAGATGATAATCAAGAGTGAAGGCATGTATATCAGAAGGGCTGGTTCCAGGTCTGCCAACATAACCAAGGTTAGAAGCTTTCTTATAAACACATTTTAAAAGGCTATGCACTTGGAAACTATTTCCTTAAAAAAAAAGTAAATGAAAAATAGTTGCAGATGATAATCTAGGTTGTAATATGAGATTAACATGAGGTTCTCAACTAAGATTAGGTGTTGGGAATTGTACATGGTGCAAACACTGGGCCTTATCCAGAATAATACATCTGGCCCTGCAATTTTTGATTCAGCTAGAAATGGACTTGGAACACCTGGTGGGAACTTCTTGGATATTAGACAGTGATAATGTATCTTAAATTATGTTCATACTTCTAACCAACCATTATTTTTAAGACAAGCTCGCAAACATATATCACTGCACAATCCAACCATTGACAGCTCTGGTTTCGAGTTCCAACGCATCAATACCCATCACAGACCACACAAAGGTATGATACATCATCAAGCATGCAATATTTATATGGCTTAAAATAACCCATCTTTCTCCAAACCCTCAAATTCCTGGTTACAGAAAACCATTAACTAAAAAACCAAACGTAGCTAATTCACTGTAGCAAGGTGGCCAGCTTTCCTATACCATGCATTAAATTAAATTGCATACCATATAAAAGTCAGATAAATGTACAAATTTATATCTATAATTATAATATTCCCTGTTACTGTCATGTTTTTGTTTGTGGAAGTATAGAGGCTAAATCACAAACATAGTACTTCAATTAGATACATTTATGCAGAATATTGCATTGCCTTTAGGAAATTTTGCGAAGAACTACCATTTAAATGACGAGTTTTGAGAACAACTACCAATTAATTTTTTTTATTTTTTGAAAAAACTACCACAAAAACATAAAAAGTTTGAGTAGCACTACCTTGACAACTTTTCCAGCTAGAATCTCCAGCTGTGCGGAGATTCTAGCTGGAAAAGTTGTCAAGGTAGTGCTACTCAAACTTTTTATGTTTTTGTGGTAGTTTTTTCAAAAAAAAAGTTTTAAATGGTAGTTGTTCTCAAAACTCGTCATTTAAATGGTAGTTCTTCGTAAAATTTCCTCGCTTTAACTTGTAAGAATTTGTAATATCAGTCCCTGTTTCAAATTCTAACTCTGATTGACCTAAAAACTATGTGCTACAAGAATGAAAAAAATGTTCCAAAATCAAACCATAGTTTTCCACATCCAAAAACTTTTTTTTAAAATAAAAAAAAGGGATAACTAATTATGAAATTACCTTTTATTAATTGTACCATAATGGAACTTGGGTTTGCCAGCTCTCATATCTTCTATGTACTGAAACCAGGGCACGAGTCAAAAAGAATATACATCTTAATAACTGAAGTATGATTGGAACAGCCAAGTCTTGCTATACCAGTTTAAGAGTAACAAGCATTGATGAAAATGCCAGAGAATCAAAAGGTATTTCACTAAGTTCAAATAGTTTGCACTCAATTGATTCAGGACCAGGAGAAAAATGTGGCTTCTTCAGCTTGGCCAAAAATATGATGTAGGTCTGTAGCAGGAAAAGTTGTTATAAGAACAGGGCAAACAATAACAGTGACACTTATACACTCATATAGTGAAGAATTCCTTACTTGACCAATAAGTGGAATGTCTAATTGAGCAAATGGTGACAAAACTTCAACTTCAGCACCCGCTTCTTCTTGGGTCTCCCTAATAGCACCTTCTGCAGCAGACTCGCCCATTTCCATGAAACCAGCAGGAAGAGTCCTATGTAGATAATTTCCAATGGTCTAAAAAAGCGGTAATATAAGCGGGAAGCAAGCTTAATGGAATAAGAACGAATAATTTTGTTCTTCTCATATTCAAAACCAAACAACCCTTCTAAAACACTCACCACCGACCATAAGAAGGTTGAATATTCCGCTTGCAAAGTAGGATCTTATTCTCATGCTCAATGAGGCACCCTACAACCTATAACAAATTGTTAACTGATATAAGCCATATGATAACACATTATCAATGAAGCACACAGGTTACTAGTTACTATCACTCCAGATGAGAAACCAACACCAAACGTTCAGCTTTAGCTGTTATATGCACTGTGACACCACCCCAGCCCCCCTAGTCAGGAGCCTTATCCAACAAGTATCTAGAAGCTTGTGATATGACATCTTTCACCAACAGTTTCAACAAAAATGAATCATCCAAAATGCAAGTAAACCTTATAGAAATAAAAAAATATTGAGCCATAAACATTTCACATGTAGCCATAGATATTAACATACATCATTTTCAAACTTAACACAATAATCTCCTCTGAAAATTCTCAAATTTAAATTATTTCAGCAAAACCCAAAGCTTCATCAGAGATGATGCGACAGATACATTGATAAGTATCAGTTTTTCCTGGATCATATAAGATCATTACTTATCCACCAAAATGGGCAGCATGTAGCCAATGTTACTAATACATGCCAATATAGCTAGTTTGACCCATATAAAAATAATCATGAACCGTGACACAACCCTATGAGAGTAAGCTTCTGTAATGAGCAATTAGTACCATCATCAATATTGGAAACATTATTTGAAAGTTGGAACACTGGAATCTTCTAAAAGTGAACAGAGCAAGCGGTGTTAAGTACTTAAGTTCATTAGATGATTAGATCCAAATCATTTTAAATGCTTAAAGATCAAATTATAGCAAAGCTATGCCTTCCTTTATATGCATTATATCTATAAGTCTGACTCACCAATACGCAAATTGTTTGGGCAAGCTAAAGATGACGTCTAAAGCTTCTCCTAATATAAGAGGTTTGTAAAGAAAGTTTGGTTATATTTTGGGAAATTTCAAAATACAGAGTTTATTGCTATCAAGTCTTTAATATGGAACTGGCATAGCTCATCAATACCTTGTGAATAGGGGTGGAGAGAGCAAGAAGAGGGGATTATCTGTGTCGGCTACATTGTGCATGGGGGAAGAGAGAAGGTATAAGAGAAGGGAAGTGGGTGTGCCATTCTTTATTTTAAAGTATATTTCTTGCCTCTTGAAATATAAAGATGGTTTCACTTGAAATTTTTTTTACAGAAACTTTAGTACCTTTTATCCCAGCTCAGTTTAAAATAAAATAATGACAAAATTAGCCACATTTTCAATTAGATAAGTTGCCCTTCCAACAATTTAAAATAGAAAGCATGACATCTCCTATCATGGCAATTTTTTTTTTTTTGTCATATTATAGTTCTCTTGATTTACTATTATCGAAACATGAACAATTACCATTTTAGGATTCTGATAGTCAATTTTTCCACAAACGGTGCAAATTGCTCTCATCTTCTCATCCCCATCAGGTATATCATGCTTTGTTGAGCCTCCACACCATTGACAGAAATTGACTTTACGAACATTTCCCTACATAAACAAATGGAAAAAAAAAAAAAACATGGTAAGGGGACATATGAAGTAATAGCAAATGACTTCATATCTTCAATCCATGATTCCCCACAGGATTTCAATAGCAGAAGCAGAGCTTCGAGAAAAGTGAACTGAATAAGTTAAAAGAAAAACTAGCATAGGAAATGCAAAAGATCCTTGCTATGAAATGTTTAACTTCAGCATAGAATAACTCGGAGATTTAATCACACAAAATAGAACAAATAAACTATGGAAGTCACGGGAAAAAGAAAAATAATTAGCAACTCTCGTAGAAATTTATTAACCTGGACAATCAAAACGCATTACATTGGAATGGTGTAAAATACAACTCAAATATCTCTGTGTCAAAGTTAAGTAGATAGCACAAATTTTTTACCAGTAGGATTACAACCATGATTACCTGTTAAAGAACAAAATCATTTCCATTTAAAAATTACAATATCCAAAACTATTAATCAAATTAAGGGATACTAATTTGAATCACTGTATACCTTCTATCATGTAATTGGAAATAGATTTGATACTTTGATAGAGATAAGAAAGAGAAACTAAGGATGTTCCAGACACTCAGAATGGAAAGAGAAATATTGATGAGATGGAAAATTGGAGAAGGAATATAAAATATCTTTTAATAGCTGTCTTTAACTCAAATACAAATGCAATGAATATATTAAGTAACTAAAAGCAATGATAACAGAGACTACATATAATAGTTAAAAGACAGTAAAGTTCCATCTCCTAACTGGAAAAGAGACACATCACCTTAAGCCATTAAACTCAGTGGTGAGTGGTGACTCAGATTAGAAAAATGTGACAATTATTCAAACAGGGGAAAAGAGCATTAAGAGAATGATAAAGAAAAAGAGTGTAACAGACTAGTAGCAATGGTGCCTAATGTCTAACCATAATTATCTGCACCATGCCAGGACACCCCCTTCCAGCTCCCGGCTACTAAAAACAAAGAATCTTTTATACTGAAGGAACATACAGTAAAAATGTCAATGTCCTGTTTTTCTTTCTCCAATTTTTCGCTCCAGCAATTCTAATATACTTCCACTCTCTCATGGCCTAAACCTATGACCCCATCTAATATATTCCTCCAGTCCTCCTCCTCCCAATATAGATTTAATGGCCAAGCAGTACCTATTCTCATATGCCGATACTTGTTAAATACCACAAGTCGCAACTCAGAAGCATCCTGGCTTGAAGTTCTGCTAGAAAACCTGGGACACCTAACAAAAGTCACATCAGCTAACATCATGTGACTCTAGACATACTTAGCTGCAAATAATAAAATGGAAAAATTATGGCTATCTCATAAGTAGTTCAGGGGATACACAGGGAGCCTCCAAACTTCCCACAATTTCAATTTTGAGCCCTCATTCAATACGAAGCCTAGCTCCATCATGTACAAAAAAGCCTTACAGTTTCTAAAGAAGATTCAAACTGTAAGGCCTTAAGAATCTGTATTCTCCTTGTCCAAAAAAAAAAAAAAAATCTCTATTCTCTACTTCTCAATCTGAATGAGAAAATTCGACATTTGCAGGGATGACATGGATTTGGCAGCGAGAAATCTTTAGCAAAAAAATATTCTTCTCCATTGTTTGTTTCTTGCTTACATTAGAAGCAACTGTCTTTCAATAATGCAAGCCAGTTGAGTCCATGGATTTCATTGGTGCTTAATAACAGTCATAGTAACCAGTAAGTCTTGTTCCTGTCAATCTCCATTCTTATCCAACTTCCATTCTCAGGTCCTCACCTAGTCCAGCTCTCCTAGAGACCTAGACTGCAGTCTTAACACTGACTAAACAACCGATCCTAATTTCTTCATTCCATGCTTTGACTCCTGTACTGAGCACAAAAACTTGCAGAATTCCTTAATAATTAAGATGATACCAAAGTGATTTCCTAGCCCCCAGTTAACACAAAACAACTCTTCATCCTTTTCAACACCAAAATTTCCTAGCTGTAAACCAAAATACAATTCAGATATCCAAACTCCCCAAGGTATGCCCACATTCAATCCATATGCCCAATCACCAAAAGTGTCAGAAGCATAAATCCCACAATTGATCATCACGACCAAGTCACAACCTAGTGTCTCAATTTGCAACACTTAACTAACATACACTTGAAACTTCTGCGCCAGAAACAGGCTTAAACACTTTGAGTCTTCTAACACATATAGCAACAACAGCATAATCAAAGCCATAATCCCAAAACAAAGGGGACATGACATTAATCAAGAATCTATCCCTTTTGACCATCCATAATATTTTCGCAGCCCTCAACCTTCCTTGTTGGTGTATCCGACTATCCTCCCATTCCCATTGGCGCCTCACAATCTCACATGACCAAATCAAAATATTCAAATCTCTCTTATTATTTTATCCTAGACGTCTGAATTTACACCATTAATTCTATCATTCAAGATGTAAATGCCCAGCATTATGACCCATATAATAATGCCAACAATTTTGTTCCTTTAAACCTTAAACGCACTCTACGAAGTAGTACATACTTCCTATGAGTCAGGTTACAACATAAGAAGAAGTATACTTGAGTTGTTATTCGAAGAACCAAATGAGGTTCAATTTCTGTATAATGTCTCGAAAAAAAGGGAAGCCTTACTCAATTAGCATCAAACTATTTTCATATTTACAGGTTCACGTAGTAAAAAAACATTAAATCAAACCAATCAAGCCCCACACATCAATTAATGCTAGATAATTTTCTACTTATCTTGCAAAGTTCCAACAAATCGAACAATTAAATCAAACCCAACTCCCATTTGCACTCACACAACAATTAATCACAAGAAAAAAATAAAACAAAGTTAAAATAATCAAAATAAACTCAAGAAAATGTAATGTAAATTATGCAATATCTAAAATATACCAATCAACAAATTCAAGATTATCCACAATTATAACACAAAAGAACTCAACCCATTTACTTAAACAATACAAATATCAAATTTTCAATAAAAATAAAAAAAAAAAAGTTAGATAAATAGAGAATATACCGAAGAAATCAAAGAATCGGAAGATGAAGAAGAGGAAGAAGCAGTTAAATTTGAGTCGCTCCGAGTTGATGACATCCGAAACGATTTGACACAGTGAATCTTCGAAGTTGATAAAATGGATGTAGAATTCGACAATGAGATGATGGGAAATCTAGGTTGTGGAAATTTAATTCGATTTGCCAGTAAGAAAGAAGATGATGAAGAAGAAGCTATCATCATCTGCACAAGTTTCAACAACATTTCTAATTTTTCTGGGTTATATTATACTCCGTGTCAAACTTACAACAAGACTTCCAACTAATTTAAACTCGTAAATTTGGAAGTGAACTGGATTCAACGCTCCTAATTTACATAGTGACGCTCTTATATAAATGTGAAATTACCGTTTTATCCTTGTGTTAATTTGACCTTTATAAAGCTCCACCACATAGTCATATAGTATACCGAGCAGTTTAATATTATTCCCGAGCACTTTGACCCACCACTAGCATTTAAAAAATCGCGAGCCCTAAAATTTCCGAGCCCACCACGAAAAATATTAAAAAAATTTTAAAAAAATTAACAAGGTTTAGCGACGGGTTTTGGACAATGAACGACGACGACGACGATCCCGGAGGCATCTTCGGAAGAATCTGTAAGTCGTAGAATTTTTTTTTTTTTTTTAAAAAGGCACATCCGCCCGAAAAATCCGGATCCTCCATGATGTGCTTTTTTCATTTAATTTTTTTTTTGTATGTTATTGATTAATATTATTATTTTTATTATTATGATTATTATTATTTTTGTTATTATTATTATTATTATTATTATTATTATTATTATTATTGTTGTTGTTGTTGTTGTTGTTGTTGCTCTTTTAAAAAACTTGGTGTTATTATTATTATAAGTAAAATACTAAGGCCTTGTTTAGTTCACCTGATTTAAGCTGATCTGATCTGATCTAAACTTATATTTTCTGATCTGATCTGATCTGAACTTATATTTTCTAATCTGATCTAATCTGAACTTATATTTTCTGATCTGATCTGATCTGAACTTATTTTTTCTGATCTGATCTGATCTGAACTTATATTTTCTGATCTGAACTTATTTTTTCTGATTTGAACTTATTTTAATTATTTCAATGTTCTACTTTTAATGTTAATCAATATTAGTGTTTTATTATTATTATTATTATTATTATTATTATTATTATTATTATTATTATTATTATTATTACTATTACTATTACTATTACTATTACTATTACTATTACTATTACTATTACTATTACTATTACTATTACTATTACTATTACTATTACTATTACTATTACTATTAGGTAATAGAAATGGAATATTTGATAATTTTATTATTTACAATATCCCACTTCATAAATGAATTTTTTTTAAAAGAAAGTATTAAAATGGGGATCCTAAAAAAACTAAATTACATATTAAATTTATCATAGCTTTTTTCTATATAGAAAAAAGAGATTTGACTTGTTTTCAAATACCTTAATTCTTAAATAATAATATGGATTTATGATATATCGGATTTGATTTTATCGTTTGTTTGAACTAGCAACATTTTCTATGTTATTTTGTACTAATTTTAATTAAAGTTATGCGTATCTATTATTATTGAAAACCTTATACGTATACTTCCTTTGATTTTAAATACCTTCTCCATTTCTACATGTGCGGAGTTTTAGGAAAGATTGGAAAACGTAATAATATATGGAGCTTGTGGGGTAAATGGAAGAATAAAAAATTGTATAAAGCAAAGTATTTGACGGAATAGGAGGAAAGAAAATATGAAATTTAAAAAAAAAAAAATTTATGGGAAACGTTAGGTTTATTATCAAAAATATGAAATTAAAAAAAATGAAAATATACATAATATGTTGTACGAAGATATTAATTTTTTTGTATAGGAAATGTTAGGCTTGTTTATTATTGCATTTTTTTTTGGAGGAAAAAAAGTAATATTTTGTAAGAAGATATTCAAATATTTTTGTTAAAACCACTTGATCAAGTATTATTGTTTTGATCTGAAGAGGGTGTTTCCAGGAAAAAACAAAGTATTATGTTTTCCCTCCGTCCCTTATTGATAGTCCTTTTTGGCTAAATTTTAGTCCCAAAATGTTCATCCTCTTTGTTATTTCCCTCCATCTACTTTTTTTTATATCCAATGTAAAATTATCTTTCCAATGTACTTTACTACTTATTTTTGCTTATTACTTCCCGTGAAAATTTAAAATAGTGTATGATTTTACTCCATACATGACACTATACTAATATGCCGTATAACTTTATTTTGTAACTAGAAAATATTATCTAGTAGATTCGGATATCAGAATACCGTTGGATATTTGAGTCCAATAAAAGATAAAGATATTAGAACCCATATGCCCGAATTTCGAAATGGTCCACCACCTTAAGGCATACTTGAACTTTTTAATTATCTTCACTCTTCACTTCGAACAACGATCGAGAGATGTTTTGGACAATTAAAATCTCGATGGAAAATATTGACAATGATGCCAAATATGGACACTAAACATCAATTGGCAATTATGGTTGCTACATTCACACTTCACAATTTTATTCGATTACATGAGTTGGATATACCCATTGATAGTGGTATAGAAATCGAACCAAGAGCGGATTATGATTTGTTTAATGAGAATCGTAAAGTTGTAAATGAACGAAGTATAACTTAATATAGCGAAGGAAATTTGGAACTTCTTGTGATGAAAACTATATTTGTAAACGTTTATAATTTGGAGCTTATAATGAAATTTTAATTATTATCGTTTATTGTTTGTGCTATTTAATAATAATAATAATAATAATTTTTATAATTATAATAATAATCATATTAATAATCATATTAATAATAATAATAATAATAATGATAATAATAATAATAATTTGTATTTGATCTGAACTTTTCTGATCTGATCTGAACTTATTTTTTCTGGTTTGATTTGATCTGAACTTATTTTTTCTTATCTGATTTGATATGAACTTATTTTTTCTGATCTGAACTTATTTTTTCTGAAATAAGGTGAACTAAACAAGGCCTAATATTGGCGTGTTTTTTGTGTTTTCTTGTATTTTTAAAGGATTCAGAGTTTGAAGAAGGCGGTGACGGTGTGAATTATAGTGCAAATTTTGTCACGGATACGTTTTTTCCAACGTTTGATGATGCAATGCAATGGGCGGATGCTATTTCCATAAATCTGGGATTTATTTTGGTCAAATCGTCTTACAACAAAACCAGGGATGGGAGGCCGTATCGATATTTGAGATGTGATCGGGGACGTAGGAGCAAGGCGAGAGATCTTGAGAACGCAATTCGGAAGGACACTAAAACCAAAGCCAATGGTTGTCCTTTCTACATCAAGATATATTACGAGTTCATCACCAATAGTTGGAAGATCCGGGCAAAAAATGATGCAATTGGGACCCATAACCATCCAATGATTGTGTATCAAGAGGGCCATCGTAAAATTAGTGGGTTGAGCCAAGATGCGAAGAAGGTTGTGCGTGACATGACGAAGTCTAAGGTTGCACCGCGTAACATCATGGCGACTATTGCCGAGCAATTTCCTGATGATCATCCAAACATCAGACACATCTACAACTGCCGGAATGACTTGAGAACGGAGATTTCTGATGGGAGAGGAGTAGTTCAGCAATTTCTACATTTGGCGAGACAGAGTCAGTATCTTTACTAGGTCATGTTTGATGATCTAGGCGTTTTACAGCACGCCTTTATGGTGCACCCAGTCACGATAGACATACTACGGACGTACCCGTATGTGATCAGTATGGATTCCACTTACAAGACCAACTGATACGGGATTCCGTTCTTTGAGTTAGTAGGTGTGACACCGACAAATCAGAATTTCCTCATCTGTTACGTGTTCATGCGCAACGAGTGCATGACAAGCTATCAATGGGTTTTGTAGAGACTGAGAGACTTGATTGGGTATGATAGGGAATCGTCGGTTTTTTTTTTATAGACCGTGAGCTTGGGCTATGTGTGGCATTGAGAGAAGTGTTTCCAGGGACCCCGCACTTACTTTGTCAATGGCACATTAACAAAGATGTGGAGGCTCGGGTTACTGATATGTTCAAAAACAAGATCGGTGCGAGTTTCAAAAACGGGAAATGGAAACGTATCATGGATGCTGCAACCGAGGATTATAATGCTGTTGTACAAACAATGAAAGATGAGTGGGCAAGTTATCCAAGTTTGTCATAAAACCAAGTTTGTGACATTTTGGACAAACCAAGTTCTACATTTTGGCAACACCAGCACTTGCAAAGTTGAGAGCCAACATTCGTCCGTGAAGATGTGGTTTGAATCTTCGACAGGTTCGTTGTTTGGATGTTGTAGTTGATATATGTACTTTACTGTAGTTATTTTTATTATCACTCTTGACGACGAGACGTATGTGCAGGTTCTTTGGATACCGTATGGGCCCGAGTTCATTGCCACATTGGTAATCAGATCATCGTAATTCGTAATGGTTTGGAGGCATCTAGGTCGAAGATTGGTCAGAAGTACCGAAAATTGCCACTGTCACGTATTAACGGCAAGGTGTCTCAGCATTATTTGAAGGTTCTCGACGACGAGATGAAAATGATGAGGGAGCTGAGTTATCAAGTGTATAAGCGATGTGGATGTGCAATGCGTGTGACCCACGATTTGCCGTGTGCTTGCCAGATAGATGATTCTCTAGTTGCCGAGACAGGCTTGTATACCAGGCAAATTCACCCGTTCTGGAAGACCTTGGTTATTGGTGATGGTGATGATGTACCGGTGTTCGGTAATGACTCGACCGAGGACGCCACACATTTTCGTTCTCTGATGGATGAGGTAATCGGTAGTGATCCTGCCGTTCTTCGAAATGTATCTCGCATCATTGAAGAAGAGTTGCATCCGGATCATTCAAACCTTGGAGATCTTGCTGTAAACCACAACGTTCGTGGTCGACGAAGGAACAATGATGCAAGACTTGATCCTTGTTATTTCAAACATGTCAACCGTCGAAACACTCAACGTGGTCCGCATCAAATAGGTTAGATTGGCTATTTTGATTTTCACGTATTTTATCATTTAATGTACTAATAGCTAAACACTAATTTTGTGTAGAAGATCCATGTGACATCAGCCAAAGCCGGTATCGACACTTGCTTCCAGGACCGATATTGTCTTACATCATAGGATGGAAGGGTGTCTTACAATAATTGGGAGAGGATTAGAATCTAACCACTCACAACTGATCCCCGAATACGGATTAGCCCAATGGTGAATCGGGTGAAACACCAAAAAAAAAAAACAAAAAAACACTTATGCATTTAAAAACAAAGGAGGGAGTATTAATTTAAGAATGTAGGGCCAAAATCACGCATTGACTGTTGTAATTAATTAATGTTCATTTTAATTTAATATTTCTACTTTTATTTATTTTATCCAACACTCCCAACCGAGGCGTTAGCTTTTGCCAATCAAACTAGAATAGTTTTCATTTTTTTTGGTGTTTTACCCATTTCACCCTTTAGGCTAATCCGGATTCGAGGATCTGGGTGGTTAGGTTCCACTCCC